TTATAAAAAATATATTTATTATATTTTTAAAGTACAAATTAAATAAAGTAAATATTAAAAGAAAAATATTTTCATTTCATTCTCCATTCAAATAAGCATCATAGATAGAAAAGAAAGCATAAATCCAATCCAGAATCCCGCATAAATTGCCTCTTTTTTCTTTTTTTTTGGAAAATAGGCAATGACCACGTAAATTGCTTAATCAAAATAGTTCTAAAGCTTAAAGCTAAAGTACTAAACACTGCACTCTACAAAATCCAAAATAAGTCTATAACTCTTTGAAAATCCTAATATATCTATAGCACTGCACAAGGTACCGCATGTTGCCTTGTTGAAGTTAGATTGTCACCAATTGTGTTCGATGTCCGAAAGCAGCTTACCACTTGCTGCCTTGGGTGGGAGTCGGGAGGGGAAGCCGACAGTTTGGACACGGATTTTGAAGAAGTTTGCAAAGTCGGGCAATTTGCATCGCCGGTTACCTTTGAATAAATAAATTTGATATGTGATTTTTTTTTTCTTTTGAAAATAGGTGTAATTGCACCAAACCAGATGTCCTTCTACAGTCCATGTACGCACTCCGGATCGACCTGCAAAGCCCCGAGGTGGGTTATCGGGGTAGACACTCCGATGCTTAAGTCAGCAATAATCGGGACTATCTTTAGGGTGGAGAAACAAGGAGCTTAGGGTTGGTTTCAATTACCTTTTGGCGTGAACCTTGAGGGGTATTTATATGTTTCGATGAAGAACCCACGTGGTATGCCAAGCAAGATATTCGGGATCCGATGTATATCTTCAGGCAGTTATTCCGGGACCGGGAGATTGAGCCAAGCAAGATATCTGGGATTTGATATGTATCTCCAGACAGTTATTTCGGGACAGGGAGACTGAGATATATTTAAATGCAATGACGTCCATCATAATTGCTGTGCAACTGTTGGAGCGGGAAGCTCTGGATTTACTTTTCACTCCGGTTGTAAAGGAAGTACCGTCGTACGTCCGAGGTTGGGCACCTCGGACCTGCTCTTACACTATTCCCCCCCGAAGTCATTCACTTGTGAATGATATTGTTGGAAGTGATATGGAAATAAAAATCCATGACTTTACATGTATAGATGACCATGTGCAATATTTAGTTATGAGTCATAATAAAAAGTAATGACCGGAGTCATGGTAGTTGTAGCAAAACGTGACCCTGGGTCACTGTGGCCATAGCCGAAGTAAAACGTGTGACACCGGGTCATTGTGGCCGGAGCCGAAGTAAAACGTGTGACACCAGGTCACTGTGGCCGGAGCCGAAGTAAAACGTGTGACACTGGGTCACTGTGGCCGGAGCCGAAGTAAAACGTGTGACACTGGGTCACTGTGGCCGGAGCCGAAGTAAAACGTGTGACATTGGGTCACTGTGGCCAGAGTCGAAGTAAAACACTTGCAAAAATTGAGAATGTGCAAAAGGGAGCAAGTGTTGAAATGGGCTTAAGTGGGCCCAGCTGAAAAGCCTGATAAAGGGGTGGTACGCGACGTGACAGCTGTCCTCTGAATGACGTGCATAATAAATGCCGTTGTAAAAAAAGAACTGTAACAGTCTAACGAGCAGATTTGAAAAACGAACCGTCAAGTTCGAAACGGTGCCGTTTGGGGTTAACCGGCGAATTCGAAACGGTGTCCTTGCAGCCGTTAGATGAAGCTAATCACGGCCGTTGAGGCGTATTTTGCCTTTGGTATAAAAGGCTATACGTCTGTAAAGAGGGATTTTTACTTTCGCGATTTTGCTTCAAAATTCTTGCTGAATTTCTACTAGATTTCTGCGATTTCGTGCGGTTTGCGCTTCAATCAAGAGGTCAACAACAGTTTCCAAGACCAAAATTAGGTAAAGTTTATGAGTTTTTTACTTTGATTTTGTCGAAGTGGTGCTCTCATTTCTCCCTTTCTGTGGTTGATTTTGGGTTTTTTTGGAGGAAATTCGGGTTGGGAGTGAGAATGTGTTGGGTGTGTTGGAATTGTTAAGGGTCCTGACATCGTTCCTCCTCCCCCTTTATGCAGAAATTGAGATGTCTTCAGAAGAGGCCATGAGTGTAGTGGGGAGTGAAGTGATGCCCCTGGAGTACGGTAGTATGGATTCGGAGAGCAGTCCATCTCCAACTAGTTCGGAGAAGACGGTGGAGGAGATGAGGGATCATAGGGTAGTAGAAGAGGAAGAAGATGAGATTCCCTCCAACATTTTGGAGGCTGGGAATAGGGTAGATGGGTGTTATGACCCGGAGTTAGAGATAGTGTCTGAGGTGAGGGGGTATGTAAGCGAGTTGGGTAGTAGGGAGGGTCTTAGGGGCCTCGTGGGTAACTGCAACCTCCCTCACCATGTCCTAATTAGGCCTGCTGGGGTGAATGAGAGGGCATGCTCAGCACCCCGAGACCATTGGATGCCCCTATATGTACATTATTTGATTGCAGGGCTTAGGTTTCCCATTCCAGAATTACTGGTTGGGCTATTATTAGATTATAGTATAGGAATAACCCAATTAACCCCAAATGCCATAAGGGTAATAATAGGCTTTCTTGTATACTGCAGAGTTCGGGGGGTGGGAGTCCCTACAATAAACATATTTAAACATTTTTTTATAATTAAGGCTGGGGGTAAGGGGGAGAAGGGGTGGTACTACTTCGGCCCTCGGTCATCCAGTAAAGGGAATAGGAGTTTATTCTCTGCTGGACTATCATCCATCAAAGGATGGAAAGAAAAATTCTTCTTTGTGGATGACACTGAGTGGAGTAGGAGGGATGCCGAAGTAGAACAGTTGTCTGTTTGGAAAGCGAAGAAAACCAAGCAAAACAACTATAAGTTGAATGAGGATGAGGTGGAGGAGGTGGAGAAGCTGGTGAGGGAAGATGGAGACGTAGTGGATATCTTGTACCTCACCAGCCCGAAGGCAATAGAGGCTGCTGAGCTCTATGGGCCAAGCTCATTGAGCGAAGGTTTGTCTGTTTTTGTTTTTTTTTTTTTGCGACTGTCTTGAGTTTGTAGTTATTGTGTTTTAATGCTTGTTGTTGCTCTGCAGCTGAGATGGACGAATTTGTCAGTGTTGCTAGAGGGCTGATTATCCCAAAGAAGCCAAGGAAGAAGTCAAAGACTTCAACTGCGGCAGAAAAGAGGGTTGCAGAGAAGGAGCGGCTGTCCAGCACCTCTGCCCAGGCTGTGGAGATGCAGCCAAGGCTGGAGCTGGTGATGGGGGGTACCGAGGAGGCGAGTGAGGAGGTGGCACCGCTCCAGAGGAAGAAAAGGAAGGTGGCAGACCCAGAGGTCGGGAGGGATGAGGTGATTGAATTCGTCCCTCGACCGTCACCACCTGAGATTGATCCGGAGCTCAAGGAGGGGGAAGAGGCTGGGGTGCGAGGTCCTGGCAAGGGCAAGGAGCTCGTCCCCCCACATTCATACCAGAAGAGTCTGTTTGAGGCCACGAACACGATCGGGGCTAAATGATTTCTCAACGCCACGCTTCTTGAGGTGGATAGGAGGCAAACGAGGCAAGAGGCGGTGAGCCACTTTGGTGCCCGTGTTGTACGGCACACCTTGGAGGTTTGTAGAGAAGTTATGGTTGATACATGTTTTACCTTGAACTGTATGACCTCTGCCTTTGAGTTCTGACCTCTGGTTACATTGCAGAGTGCGAGCTGGGTCAATGCTCTTGCGTAAGAGTATGCAAAGAGCGTAAGAGATTGTGCCAGCTGGCAGAGGCAATGTGAGGCTCTGCTGAAAGCAAAAGAGGAGCTGCAGAAGGAAAAGGGAGAGCTGCAAAAGAAAAACCAGCAGATGCAGAGGAGGCTGGATGAGGTGACGCCAACAGTGACCGAGCTCCAGAGCGACAACAGTGTCTTGAGCACGAAGCTCTCTCTTGAGGAACGTAAGAGGAAAATCTGCGAAGAGAAGCCCGAAGCTCAAGACAAATATATCGAGAGCCTGAAGAAAGGGGCGGTGGAGCTAAAGAAGAACGTGGAGCTGTTGGTGCACAACGGGATGGAGGGGCACATTGGCAACTTCCTCAACTCCAGCACCTTCGAGAGCATCCTCAAGCTGTACTGGCTTCCGACCGCAATCCTGGCCTTCACCGACTGTAGAAAGAAGGTGAAGGCCTAGTACCCAGAGGTGGACGTGACAACGGTCACCTTTGGGGAACAAGAAGAAGGAGTGGAGGAGGATGGTGAGAGTCTCTGTGCTGACTTCCGACCTCTGATCAAGTTGAGGTGGGAGCATGACGCAGAGGGACGCACTATCTTTCC